AAAAATATAAACACATTCTCCCCGCTTGCCAATCCCCAAATAAACCCCCTATTTGCCCCCCAAATTTTTTGCATCCCCACTTTTTCCAATGTCTCGGGGAAAGGGTGAAATGGCAAAATTGGGGGGGGGGGGGGGGGGGGGGGGGCGAACGAGCTGTATGTGCAAATGGCGAATACAAGGGTGTTTTCGCATTTGCATTAAGCTTTCGTTCGCAACTAGACTCCGAATGATCCCTTATTTACCTCAGAGAAAGAGTGAGCAAAATACGCGCAGCCATTGACTGTGTTGTAAGAAATTTTCTAAAACTAATTCAGTGTACACTCCTGCACTTGTTGTTCACCGGTCTTTGGCCTTGTTATCCGATATGTCTTAAAAATAAATCTTCTTGAAAGAAGGGGAACTACATGGTTGCAGAAAATTAGTTCAGGGTGGACTTTCGTTGCCTGTGTACAGACGCCCCCTCCCCTAAAAAAATAGTTTCTTCAGGGGAGGGGGCATCTGTATACATGCTAGGACTTTTAGCTACTTTTGGCAAATAAAATAAGATAATACACTACTCGTTCTTCTTCTACAGTGTAGTGCAAAAAAATAAATAAATAAATAACTGAAAAACCTGTTCCCAGGGGCATTCTTTTATTACTCTTGTTTTTCCCATGCAGTAAATGCTTAAAGGCGACAAAACTCCAGAGCACCTACGGACGTAACTGGCAAAAAGGCGGGTTTTGGAGCGCTCGCCCATCAAAACCCGCCAAAGCACCCTCCAAAAACGCCGGTTGTACAGGCTGCCGGCCTGGGTGAAGAGAAACCCAGGCAAGTTAAAAACAGTATTGTACCGTGGCAGCCACCCACCCCACCCTTGCCGGGAAAGCCTAAATTACTTTGCACTCCAGGGTTAACACTGGGGTGTGAAAATGTTGCAAGTAATAAAAACACCAATTTGAAAGATGAAAACGGATTTGGCGATTCGATTCGATTTTGCGAGAGGTTTAAATAAAAGCAAACAGATAAAATGACTTTTATAGCAATGATCATGAATTCAAAACGGTTGTTCGAAACTGAGACAATAAACAGCTCATGTCTCACACTCCTTGATACCGATATGCTCTTATTGCGTATCAATTTCAACTTGTAAGAAAAGTTAACAGCGTCGACATCCGTTCATCCGTTCTTGCGCTGTTCGTAGAAGTGTTCCAACGCTGTAATCACTATTAGCATTGTTCAGTGTATCTGGATCATTTACACTTACTAACAAAGTAACTGACCTTTTCGAAATGATCAATAACTGAAGATATCTAAGGAATAAACTTACCCAAGAGATGACATATTTTCCAACAAATTATACGTGTATATTCAGCTTACGGTCCTTACGCAGCGAAAAGCGAGCCACGTGTGGTCATTTTACGCAAGGTCGAGAGACCCCGCGAGAGACACGGTCTGTAGTAAAATAATAAAATCCAATCTCGATGAATTCCTGTCTTCGCAAATGAAGATAGATGATCAGGAAAGAACTAAACATCGTCTGGTATCTTCTGAAAACAAAATCGACTATGAAAGTGGTGTTTTGTATTGCGATCAAGTAAGTCTTTCAAACATGTAATCAGTTAATGAAGACCAACTGCTGTGCCAAACAAAAGGTTCTTGTTTTTGTTCTTTTGTTACTCACTACCGCCGTTATTAATTTAATTATTATGTTAATCCTTTTGGTCGAGAATCCAAGGTTTAATTCGCTTGATTGGCAATGCAAGGCTAAGGGAAACAGTGGGTAACTTTAGATCAGGCGTCCCTGATTTTCTTGCCTGCGTGCAGACGTCTCCTATTTCCTTTGTTGCACGCGCAAAAGGGACGGCGTTACGCAGACGTCCCTTTTCCGCGTGCAACAAAGGAAATAGGAGACGTCTGCACGCAGGCAATGATTTTCTTGTTTCTTTACTTGTCTGGGACCAGGAAAAAGGTCCGGGGGGTACTCGATATATCCCAGGTGGGGAGGTGCGGCNAAAATTCCGGTTTTTGTTAACCCTTTTAAAAAAAATAATTAAAATTATAGGTTTAAAAAATTTTTGTGAAAAAAAAAATTTTAAAAAACCAACCCCGTTTAAAACAAAAAACCCCAAAAAAAAACCCCGGGGGGCCCCCCCGCCCCCTTAAGGCCTTTTAAGGGGGGACCCCCCCCCCCCCCCCCCCGGGGGGAAAGGTAAGAAAGGAAGTGAAACGGCGAAAAAAGAATCGGCGTGCGAAGAGAGTCGAGCGGTGGACTGGAGAGGGGAATTTTTCGCCTTTTCCCGCCTTAATTTCCCTACGGAGCCTGGTCCCAGGCTAGTATTGCTTTTGTAAAGGAGCTGCCGCTACCCTATGTGGTGCACAAGTAGGCAAGTCGGGTGGGGAGCGCGTGATCCCACAGTAGCGTGATCCCCTTTCTCTTCCCTTTCGAAAGCCTCTCTCGCATGCTAGAGGCAGGTTAGCCAGCGTGTCAGGCGTTCGTAACCGGATTTAAAAAGATCTAAAAAGAGATCCAAGAGCGCTTAATTTCCACTTAAAACACCTGCCATGCAGGGGAGGTGTACCTAGAATGACTGATGTACATGTAAGGTCGATAAAGTGAAGGTTACTAGACTAAACCGTAGACTAGCGATTCAGAATACTGTGTGTGGCAGGCAATTTTCGACATTTCCGCTGTTTCCAACGATCCGTGAGAAAAGAAGTGGAGATTACTTACTGGTTTTTACATCTCACATGAAAAAATTGCTACTACCGCTTATGTTTGAAATCTAAATTCGCTTTTTTTCCGCTGCAAAATGTCAAAAAATTGATCATCTTTCCGCGAAATGAAACTGACCCTCGAAAGGTTCTTCTAAGTCAACAAAAGCCTCAAAAGCGAAATCAAAGGTCATGCCCAAGTAATGTGGGGAACTCGTGACGAAGCAAATAAAGCCCCAGATGTGCGTCGGGCGCAACGTGTGTATATATGCTAAGGAGCACGTCTACGGCTCTTCAGTCTCTGTTGAATCGCCGAGTATAGCGTCAGCTGCTGTAAGAAGTGAAGACTTGATGGCAGATTTCAATTATTTCTTGCTCCAAATAGCCAATGAAATAAAAAGCATCGAATTGGCCGACATGAAGTTTCTATGCGAAGGAGATGACACTTTAGCCAGAGGAAAACTTGAGTGCGTCAAGACAGCAAGAGAGCTGTTAAATTTTCTTAAAGAAAACGGCAAAATCGGACCGGGAAAAGTCATGTATTTGGTAACTGTACTGGACAGAGTAAACCTCGTTCAGCTTGCTGAGAGAGTCATGGAGGACGGTAAGAAGAGTATATTCAGTGTGTTTTTTTAACATTACCTCTTATGAAATGATTCGGATAAGGAGTTCGTTTATGTTAGCTTATGCTGTAATCCTTGTTCTAACCTAACCGTTTCCTGTTGTTACGGTTAGAATACTTGGTCAGTTCATGTTCAATTCAAAGACTGATTCCATAGTGTCGAACTCTGTGAGCGCCAGCATCAATAAACGCATCGAAGTGGAAATAAAAGCGAAACTGAATACTAGCCTGAAATTAATCCGATTGCTTCGAGTCGTTTTCTCCTCTCAACAAGTAAAAACGACTCGAAGTAATCGGATGAAATTCAGGCTAACTGAATACATAATTGCATATTCTTCTTTCTTCGCGGGCACCCGTCTGGCGGCAGGCGGGGGGACCAATTTTTCGAGAATGGAACTCACTAAGGCATCGAAGCGCAAATAAAAATAAAAGACCCGCATCGAAACAAAAGACGCGAAAAAAAAGAAATCGAAATAAAAGACACGCATCGAAGCGGAAGTAAAAGCGAAACTGTTTAATACATAATTGCATATTCTTCTTTCTTCGCGGGCACCCTTCTGGAGGCAGTCGGGGGAACCAATTTTTCGAGAACACAGAACTCACAGAACTCACTGAACTCACTGAACTCACACTTACAGAACTCACTGAAGACTACAAACGGGCCTCTGAGACTACGGAAGCGGTCGTTTTAAAACCCTTTAGCAAGAGCTCATTTTCTCTTGCTTTAGTAATTACTTTTCGGATTTAAGACCGTGGGACTACAGATTAAGTCGCTTCACTTTAAACTTACAGTGCTTCTTCGACTAGACTACTGTGGAACTCATCAGTTCATATAACACTTCCTCAAGAACACCTGAAATATATCAGGAAGAAAAGTCTGAACTTTTATGGTTTGTTTCCCCAACACAAACATCTAAAGCATGAGAACTGTTCTTTTTTAATTTTCTTTTATTCGTGTGCATTTTACCGCGCGCAATTTATCACAAGACGAAGGGCAAATTTCTTTTAGAATCAGTGACCTACAGTAGGAAAACAAAATGGTCCATTACAGGTTAATACAGCTTCTTTTTCTCACTCCCGTTTGACGTTTTCCCCCAAATTTTCCATGCAACTGTTCATTCTTTATAAAAGTAGAAGGAAAGGATACGTGTAAACAGGCACACTAGTACCGCGGAACCAAAGGAGAACTTGACTCATCACTGAATATCGCTCCAAGCTAATGTATTCTGCTTCTGCTACGGTGCGAACGACTTCGTAACCGCTACAAACCATACCAAAGAGAAAAAAGTTGTGGTTGTATTATAGCAAAGAACATAACACAACAAGCAACTACGTGTATCTTTTTTTTCTCTTACAGAGCAGAACACAAAAGAGCAAGAGCAGAGCAGAAGCCAACAGAACACAAAACATCAAAAAAATGAAAATTAGCTTTTGTTACTGTAAATCCTGTCTACCCCCTGCCCCTCTCCACTCCGGCATTTCAACTAACTCTCCCACTGTAAATTACTCTCCTCTCCCCCCTTATTATTAATCAAAAAATAAATTGTTCACTATATTAAATATTATTCATGACTAAACTATGACTCCATGTGAACCTATCTGATATGGTTAGTGCTGGAATGTCAGTTTTGCCTCAAAATTGCTCCCAGGGTGCTGTTAAAGTATTAAGGATAATTTGTCAAAAAAAGAAGAAGAAGAAGAAGAAGACAATTGTAAATAAAAAAAGAAAAAAATTGAGGAAGTTTAGTAGTTTCTTTTCATATTACATAAATATTCAGGGCTGTGCTCTAGCAGTACCCAAAAGCCCCTGGCACCCTCTTTTTGCTCTTGAGAAATGACGAAATCACTCTGGATTTCACAGGTTCAGAGCTCTGGGTTTCCCTTCAATATGAACTAGAGCACAGCCTTGTTACAATAATTACACTAATTATTATGGTATGTGGATTTTTCAATACTATTTTTAAAAATTTTATGAGCTTTGATAGAAAATCATATCGGTTACGGTACAAATCTGCGTGTAAGAACCTACATTTTTGAAGTCTATGAAGGAACTTGAGTTTGGTGCCTTTCAGCAAGGTCCATGAAGACAATTACAATCTGTAGTTTTTATAACCCTGTTTTTTTTTCTGGAATTACAAGACTCACAGTGGTACAGTTTGGTACAGTATTTTCTTGTCTTATCAATTTGCAAACTTCAAACTCCTTTTTTAAGAACCTGCTTGATTTCTTTCGTTTTTTGGGCTAAAAAGGTTGTTATATATTCAGTATATTTGTGAGTATTAGGATGGCAAATTTCCGCCAGAAAGTTCGTAAACCACTAGATTCTTGCATGCAGGTATTTTCTGAATGATAATCTTCCCAATCTTATACTCCTTACAACTATTCCTGCCACTGCCAGAAAATAGGTAACCCTCTGCAACATGTACATTGGAAACACCAGAACATATTTCTTAGAAACGAGAAAAAATAATGTTGGGTTTACAGGCTGATCCAACGTGTTAACGCGCTTATGAGACCGCCAATACTGTTAGTACTGTCTATTCCTGAACTATAAAAAGTCAAAAGGCTGACTAACTTATACATATAATAATTATGTAGATGAAAATGAAATGAAACTTTAGTATTCAGAACAATGGATTGATGAGTGAAATAAAACAGCCGAATAAAAATTGGAAAAATGACCATAATTTCAATAAAGATTTAACATTTAAAAAAATGGAAAAAAAGAAATATCGCAAAACAAATGTCGCTTTCAATTGTCAACAACCCTGACTATTAGGTTCAAGTATCCCTTGCCGTGACTCATCGAGTAGTCTTCGTCGACACATCTTGCCTCGTCGAGTTGTCCTCGTCGAGTCAGCGTCTCGTTGAGTCGTCCTCGTCGAGTCAACTTCACCGAGTCATCCTTATACTCGAGTTACAGAATGCGAGAAAGCCTTAGTTTAAGGTGGGTAAGAAAAAGATTTTTACGGAAATTTTCCGGTCAGTGTAACATGGTTATTATTATTTTTTTTGTCTTGCGCCCTTGACTGAATTGTACTCATTTTGATATGGTTTAAAGATCTCTTCACTCTGCACAAGTTAGCGGACAAAACCTGATGACATTACAAGTGGAAGAAGCGATGTGGATCCGCACCTGCGATTACGGGCGGCTCCTGGGCAAATGGATTAAACGAAAGCAAAAACGTTATTTTGTGTGAAGTTTTTGAGACCATATGGACCGCGTGCGAACTTGCCAATTAACTCTCTAGGTCACTCTAGGTCCCTGAGTTTTAGTGCCATAATAATAGTAACAATAATAATGATGGTGGTGATGATAATGGTTGTCGCACCGTGTTGTCCTCTGGGTTTGTTTGGTTTTATGAACTAGCGCTTATTCATGGCAATAAACACTAAAATCTTGTTATATCTCTGGACATACCATCACAGGTTATGAAATCGGACTTCTTCGTTACCCGTGCTACTAGTAAAATCTTAAAATATTTTTCTCGTACAATTTCTTACGCCTGAAGGAGACCTTACTTTTATGGGAAATTGACCCGATAATACGGATAGCAGCTAAATTCAAATTTAAATTCAATTAAAGTTAGTATCAAAATTACAGAAAATGTATGGAAAAATGGAGGTTTTCTAAAAACTGATCACGGACTTCTTTGCACTCCAGATTTAGTGTATTGTTTCTTTGAACTCGTAAGTTACTCTTTTCAAACAGAAATCATCAAATACATAAACTCAAGAAGAATTAGCTGGCTTTGAATTCTAAGACAAATCTCAATTTCCCACCATCTTGCCCTGATTACCCAGTGGTGACGGTTGTATTGCTAAGCCCGGGCTTTTTCGATGCACTTCTCTTAGGTAATCAGTGTAAGCATTCACCTGGTTACATGTAACCCTTGAAATGCTTATGTCATCAAATACATTTTCTGAGTTATAGTTGATTTATCTCGCGAGATTAAGTTTCCAGTTCTCGTGTGACCAGTTTGCTTTATAAAGGCCTGATACTACAAGGACAAATTTGAAGTTAAGCACAAACCGTTAATGGCTACAGTAGGAGTTCAGATTAGAAAGTTTACTAAAGTGGAAGTGCTTCGAACGCAATTTTAACACCGGCTAATATGCGTTTCGACACCTTAAACTGGCCCTTCTATTTCCTTCCTTTAGACACCTACAGAGCGTGCGGGGACCATAGACAAGCAATTCACATCTGGAAAACAGACACTTTACCAGTGTATAAAGATGAGCTTGGTGACCACCCTTGGACAGCCTCGATCCTGAGATACATAGCCAGTTCGTACAGGTGTCTTGCGAAATCTGAATCTGCAGATTCCGGAATAGCTGATGTAGCTGAAATGTACAGCAGAGAGGCTCTAGATTTGCGAATCAAGTTGCTGAGAGAACATCAGGATACCGCACGGTCCCATGTTGACCTTAGCGATGTCTTGATTATTAAAAAAGATTTCAAGTCAGCTTTGGAGCAGCTTCAAAAGGCTATTAAAATCCAGAAGGACGTTCTGGGTGAAGAACACGAGACCACGAAGAAAACGGTCGGCATTATATTCTACCCACCAAAACCACATCGATCGAGAGGGACTGAGATTGAATTTTGGACACATTGTGGCATAGATGCCTACGATGTTTTGATGTATTCGCCTCTCGGGATTCGCCTTTCTTTGGCTTTGAGCTTAATTATATTTGGGAGATCGCGTTCTCGCCAACAAAGGGTGAATATAACGAGTATAACTGTATTTTGGCAAATATTGTACATGAAGTTTTAAAACATGTTCAGATATTTCATGGGGCTACGTGATACACATCTAGCCCCGAACACTGTTGGTGGTTTTGGTGGATGTTGAAGTCTACATCCACCAAAACCACTCGACCTGTCCAGACTGCACATATGAGCCCTTACCTATAACCATCGTTAGATCTCCAAAGAGGCAAGGGTTTTAATTTTTTTTTAGGCGCATAGTTACGCTTCTGCAAAGTACTGACGGACTTTTTAAGACCATACTCATAAAGCAAAACAATTATTGACACAATGAAAATTTTAATCATGGTTTTTATAAGCTGTTATTATTTACACATACAAAATATTTATATTTTTTATTTTTACTATTATTATTATTTTTAATGTGCACTTGTGAGCAGCACACTTACACTTCCAGTGAACATTTTCACTTGGAAGAAGGAGAAACCATGCTCGCCCGGGGCAACAAAAATTTTCGTGCCCCAGGCGGGAATCGAACTTGCGACCTTCCAAATCCCATCATTCCCGGAAACAAATCATGAGGAAGATCATGGCGGGAATTTTAAGTTACGAACCCGCGTTCGATAGGAAAAATGCTGAGAATTTTGGATATGTTTCTTCCGTCCAAGAGGCTTATAATAACTCATCGCAGAGTTTGAAACGAGATCGACGACCAAGTTTCCCTGCTTTAAAGTGGACAAAGATTTTGGGAACACTGGTATGTATCTAAGGTTCATCTATTGCTGCGCCTTTCAAAAACATGCGAATTCTGAAGTTCAAAAGCCAACTGACGATTGCGTTTTTTGCTGCCGTCAATCATCTTAACGGACCTCTAAGGAAACAAAACTTTACTTTGACGGGTTCAAAAGGTAAAGGTTTGTGATTTGTGATTGGTGGATTTCGATCCGTTTTGTGTGTTTCCGTGTTTTAAGGTTCGTTGCTTGTGACCGTCAATGTCGAGGCTACTCACCCGCTGCTCTCCCTCGTGTATCAGCGGGCTCAGTCGTACTATCGCGGCATGAAGGCCCATATTTAATAGACAAGAACCGTTGACGAAAATACTTTACAAAAAAACAAATTTTAAAAAAGTGGGCTTTTCAACAATGGCTTTTACGGCCACATGGCGTTTTCGCCATCTGAACATTGTAGGTTGTTTGCTCATAAGAAGGCCTACCAAGGGGGGGTCACGGGCACCCCAGGACCCCCCTAGCTAAGCCCCTGTTGTATCGTTGAAAAAACAGTCTCTCCTCTTGATTTTCAGCAATATAACCACTTCAAGTATTAGGAGATATGTTTATGCGTACGTACGCTAATTCTCGAGTGAAAAGGAAGAGCTTCAGAGCTTTTATAGAAAAAGTAAACTACTCCAGATGTTTATGTTGATTTCCGGCGGCCATATTGGTCCATACAAAGCTCTACAAGATGCGTGAAACGTTTCGCCAAATAACTCAGAAATTATGGGCAACAAAGACATGAGACTTGGAAAAATTGTTCATATATTAGTCTTTTATAACATTTCAATTTCCTGGTTTCTTCCCCTGGACGGTTTCCAATTTAATTTTTTGTCGTTGCGTGACAGTGAAAACGATCTATAGAGAGAAAGCCATTTACATAAAAACCCATAAAACGGCCATAAATCGGCCCGTGGACCACACAGGAGAGACGTAACACACATTTTAAGTAAGGTAAGCTGTTTTTTATTGAAATCATTTCATTTCGTAGGTTACAAGAAACGATAGGTTTTTTTCCCATACAAATCCTTATATTTTGAATGTTACGCAACAATGCCGCTGCTCGCCGATGCTCATATTGCGAGCTTGGGCTACCTGTGATATAAATTATCGATTTCCTGCTCGTCCTGTTTCTTGTCCTGAAGTCCCTCAATGCCTCGTTAGCTGCTCAACGAACTCTAGCTTAAAGTGGAAATTGAATTTTACGAGGTAAGTCATATCGCAGTTTCTCTAAGAAATGCATTGGTTCTCTCGAGCTTAATCCCTTACTAGAACGGTTCGAGGGACATTGAACTTTACAGCATCGGCGTAGTTGTCATAGCTCAGACAGCATCCTATGTAGGTTCATTATTGAAAACTT